TACAGTTTCTTCTCTCGCTCCCTCTTCTGTCAAAAAGGCTTCATCCATTTCAACATCTTGTCTGACTGTAATATCTTGGATAAATGACGCTCAGATAACCTTAGATGACACGACTCAATCATCACAAGTTTGTCAGCGCTCATCAGCCTGCCAGACTGAGGAGACCCAAGCAGAACAAATATCAGATATTGATTTAACTCCAGATACCCAGAGCGTTGTTAAACTCACAGATACAGAATAGACAAACTCACAAATACAGAAGAGACATAGCTGAAAAGTACAGACAGATTTGAATTGCATCAGTGCAAATCATTTCATTCATTCTCACCTCCAGGTGATAAAGCCACTGGCGGTGCTTCTATTCTCGTGAGGCCGGGTGTTATCCATAGCCCAGTTCATCTTAAAGGCAATCTTCAGGCTGTTGCTGTACTTTATAGATAACCTTTACGCTTTGCTCTTTGTATATTTCTCCTTCTTCAGCTCTTCAGCAGTCCGATCTTCAGGATCTATTCGCCCAGCTTCTCAAACCTTGTAGTATCATTGGTGATCTTGTAAAACCATGGAAAGCATGGTCAATAATAGATGAGTATGGTCTCTAGAAACCAAAAATCGTATAACAAACATTCAGTTTAGTTTTCGAAAAAATAGAAGCACCATTGATCATTTGGTACGATTGGAATCATTCATTAAAAATTCCATTGTAAATAACCAGCATGCTGTATCAATGTTTTGCGATCTAGCAAAAACTTATGATACAAAATGAAAACATGGTATTTTAAGAGATTTACATGACTTTGGTTTGAGAGGCCGTTTGCCTCATCTTATATCACAGTTTGTAGCAGGCAGACAATTTCAAGTTCGTGTTGGATCAACCCTGTCTGACCATTATAATCAGGATCAGGGATTTCCATAAGGCAGTAGTTTGTCTTTCACTTTGCTCATCATAAAAATCAATAATCTCCCAACAGTATTAGATGACTCAATAGATGGGTCATTGTTTGGGGATGATTTTAACGTCTCATGTCGTGGTAAAAACATGCATACCATCAAGAGACAATTACAGATGTGTTTAAACAAAATTCACAAATGGTCTCTTGAGAATGGCTTTACATTTTCACAGATAAAGATCAAATGTATACATTTCTGTCGAACATAAAAACCTCATAAAGATCCCGAACTGTTTCTAGGTGGCTCTCCAATTAACGTTGTAAAGGAAGCCAGATGTTTGGGACTAATTTTCAACCATCATTTGATCATTTCACCACACATAAAATATCTGAAGACAAAATGTCTGAAGGCCTTCTATTAAAAGTTGTCTCCAATTCAAAGTGGGGAAGGGATCTAGCATCCCTCCGTCACTTGTACAGATCACTCATCAAAACTTGATTACGGCTCCATCGTATATGCTGGGGCCTGTAAAAGCAGCCTGAAACTACTTGGTTCCATCCACCACCAAGGCCTAAGACTTTGTCTTGGATCCTTCAGAACATTTCCTGTTGACAGTCTCTATATCGAGGCCGATGAGCTTTCTCTTAACCAACGGCGTATCAATTATCCTTACAGTATATTACAAAACTATATTCTAACGAGTCTAACCCTGTATTTAACTGTGTTTTTAATACTCATAATGGGGATCTATTCAGCAAGAAGTCATCTCTTATTCCGCCTCTAGGAAGAAGAATAAAACCTTTCCTTTCTGATGCTGGCATTGATCTACAAAATATAGCTCCTTTCCGCCTTCTTTCTTCTCCTCCCTCGCAATTAGTAAGGACACCAGTTGACCTAACACTGACAACGTTTAAAAATCCGAAACTAATGAATTACAATATAAACAAAAATACAACCAATTCAAAAGTAAATATCATACATACAAATCATTATTTACAGATGGGTCCAAGGATGGTAGCGCAGTGGCTTGTGCTACTGTCGTTGGATTGATACCAATATCTTCTCGATTATAGCTCTATTTTCACAGCAGAAGCATATGCAATACTATCAACTCTTAAATATAATAATAGACACCCCAAATATAAACAATATATCATAATTTCAGACTCTCTTTCTTGCCTTCAGGCTACAAAAAAGTATCTTGCAATCGTCCACTTTTAATAGAAATTATTGAATTATATAATGATCTTGCTACTGGCCAATACGACATCGTCGTTTTGTTGGTTACCCAGCCACGTTGGCATTTCTGGGAACACAATGGCCAATCTTGCTGCTAAGGCAGCACTCAACAAATCTGTGACATCACTTCTCATTCCATACTCCGATTACAAAGCAACCATTAGATCGTACATCCATGATCAGATGCAGAAGAAGTGGGACACCCAAGTAGGTATTAATAAATTTACATGAAATAAATCTCTATATTGGTTACACCTGCTTGGGTTGTCAGTCCAGATTTGAAGAGGTCATTATGCGACGATGTCGCATTGGCCATACGCGGTATACACACAAATACTTATTGAAAGATGATGTTTTTCCATTTTGCATCCCTTGTGATGAAAGAATCACGGTCAAGCATGCCCGGCTTGACTGTATTGATTTTTCCATCACAAGGGATAAATATTTCAGTGTTAAAATGTTAAGGGTCATTCATAATTTTATTATCGAAATTTAAAAGAGTTCGAATTGATAGACAAAGTTTGAGTAATATGTCTTGTAAATAGGTGTACTTTTATGATTGGTAGTTTAGATTAGTAAGTGAGATTGCTAGCGGCTGTATCCTCAAAGGGTGTTAAAGTACTGTAAAATTATGGTCCTCCTGAGAGGATACGTAAGTCCCAAAACATTCAAGGAAAATGTAAACCTACCACCATATTAAATCGTAGGATATATCATCATCATCTTTATTTCCTCCACTGTAGGAGATAAGATGCGTATTACATCAACAAGACAGCATGAGTATGTATACTGAGTCAAAAAAGAAACTTCACATTCTTTCTTCAGGGCACTAGAAAAGAACAAGAGATGATAAGATGGTTAAATTGTTATTATTTCATTGCTGAGATCTGTGTGATGTACTCGATACACTGACAGTGCCATAATCAGTTCCACTAGGCTACACCGCCGTTCCAAAACATGGGTATACAGAATGTCAAGTCACAAGAATAAAAATGCGAAATTTCTCAGTTCAATATCGTGTATGGCCGCCCCGCGCATTCACCACTGAAAAACACCGTCTCCTCATCACGACATTTCTACTGGCCAATGTGACATCGTCCTCTGCTGGTTGCCGGATCACGTCGGCATAGCAGGTAACACAAAAGCCGATGCTTCAGCTAAAGCAGCTCTTGACAAGCCCTTATCTCCACTGCTGATCCCTACAGTGATTCCAAACCCACTATCAAAAGCTATACTCAGGACCTCATGCAAAAAAGGTGGGACACTCAAGTAGGAAGAAATAAGCTGTATGAATTAAAGCCAACAATTGGTTATACCTACTTGGGTTGTCAGTCAAGACGTGATGAGGTAATTTTACGACGATGTCGTATTGGCCACAGTCGGTTTACACATGACTATCTGCTGAAGACGGATGGGGATGGACCCCCATGTGTGTCACTTGCGATGAGGTTTTCCCCATCAAGCATATTCTGCTTGACTGTGTGGACTTGTCGTCTGCAAGGGACTCACATTATGATGCAACAAATCTGAAAGATCTATTCTCCCGCGTGAGCGCTCATCTGATAGTGAACTACCTGAGGGAAGTTGATCTGTATCATAAATTGTAACTGTGTAATGTGACTAACGAACTGCCTGCTTTTAAATTTGGTGCTATGACTTTCTCTGTGTTTTAAATGACAATGTAATGAATATATTTTTTTGAAATAAAACTCATTCTGACTCTGTACTTACAATGTATATTAATGCAAACTTGTTCTCGTCACTATATGGCTGGAATAATGCCGATGTGACGTAAAGCCCAACTCAACTCAACTCAACTGGAAGGGAATCAGTTATTCGATGGTTATTGGACGATATTAGATCTTTCATGTATGTTAAAATTCATTGCCAAATTAGCTTAGTTAAATTCTGACATCCCGAGCAAAAATTCAGATTAATATGAAGAGAGAAACAGATCCGCAAGGATGGGAGCCCTTGGGGATGCCTACGTCTTGTCCAAATGTCCATTAGCCTCTTAATTTGACAGAGATGTAATCAGTGAGGAAGTCAAGCATTTCACATATTGTTTTTTTATTTACGTAAACTTTAGCGTGTTCGAACTCCAGTAGGTGGCGTATAGTTGCACTGTTAAAATGTCAGTTCAGAACCATGTAGCTGAAGGAATTATAGCCAAACCTTGGTCCCTACACTGTAAGGCAGTATCCCTTTGATGACAGTCACGTTATACTCCCCAGACCATTACACTGCCCCTCCAAATCGATCAAGCTCTCATGAATATGCTAGTGGAGGTTGCAGTTACAAATCTGTTGCGAAGATGACATTTTTCACACGACATTTTTCTCGTCTGTGACGACAGTAGTTAATTAGTAGCTGAATACATATCCATGCAAACTGTAGAAGTACCATACATCTCCGCGATCCCTAGAATGAGGTTCTACATTTGGTTGCTGCCATGGTTGTCTGTATATATAGTGACTACTACGATCTTTAACATGGTGTTCCGGAGAGCCATTCCACGGATCAGCCGGGGCTGTGCTCTGCGTAGATACAATTAAACCACGCCCATCTTACAGAAAATTCCCATTCACCAATCGACCCGTGAAGATCCGGCTTAGAATTGGTCTTCAGCAACCAATGCTTATCGTAAGAGACGCCTGACGGGATCGGGTGGACAGGCTCGCTGACTTGATTAACACATTGTATCCCAATTGCGTAGATCGATGCTCATGCTGTTGATCACTGGATTGTCTGTTCCAGACTCGTTTATTTACAGAACTCCTCCATATAACTGAAATATTGCTGAATGTGGCGTTATACAACTATCGATCGATCAGTTCTAGACGACGGAAGTTAAGCTTTATCAGTCCAGTAATTACAAGCTAGTAAATGTAATCAATAAACAACAACAATCAAACAGGCCAGGCCCTTGGCATCATGATTTCATTTTTATTTTAACATTTCTGATCCTACCCGCCGTGTATTTTGAAAAGCCACGTCCCAGCATTTCGAATGTAAGTTGAAATTCTCAAATGGATGACCTTGAACTTATGTTCACACGATATAACTTCTCTCTCCCCTACTGTATTCCCTTTACCCATCTGTACTCTATTGCCATGAAACTTGATCCAGAAGCTTCTAAACTCCTTACAGGAAACGATATTATTTTCTTTTATTTGATTACAACGGTAAATCTTCCAGTAAGTATTACCCCCACCCCCAATGGTTATTTTGTCCGTGAAATTTGTAAGAGTCTCGTATTTGTCGTAGTTGAAATTGGCATCGTGGCAGGTTTTGACTTGAAAGATGAGTGTTCTATCGGCAAATACATGCTTCAGTTCCTCTTCTGTCAGCTCAACGTATTTCCTTCCTCTGCGCGTAGCTTCGGTTTCCTTCCGGATCCAAGGACCTGAAATATTGCTGAAAGTTATTGTCAATAGTTCAAAGGGGTACAGAGGACGACAATTGTTATTACTGTGTTCATACTTTAGTGTTAATATTTACCCTGTGAATTGTAAAAGAACTGTAGACATGTCCAGCACAAAGGGTCTTGAGCGGACCATCTTCGGCTAAGGTCAAAGTCACACAATTTAAAATTATATCAATTTAGTTGTATTTTTATAATTATTAATTCATGACAAATCGAAGCTTTCCCAGATTGGTAACAATTAATCTAATTCCTGCCATATTTGAGGTTTGCGTGTCAGTGTTACATGAATGTCATTATTCATTTGCTGTCTGTATTATAAATATTAAAATAGAGCTAAAGATAAAGACGAAGAATGAATGTTATGTCTTATTTGTACTCTCTTGTTTGGGTTAGCTCAGTATATAACTATATTCTCTATGTCCAATGCTTGAAAATCTTCCATTGTATTTTGAAGGAATAATTAGCAAAGCCATATCCAAAATTCCACAAATATGGGTAATGTGGTTAACGAGATATTAGTCTTCACAACATATTGGGGTATGATATTTCTTTAATTGCCGAAAATGAAAATCGATCTGTCAATTAGTACCTCTTGGATAATGGTATGCCCTCAGATAATAGTCAAACAAAGCGGGGATCGTGAGGCTGGAACATAGCAAATCCCCATTTGCTCGTGGTCAAGTCAAGTCTTTCTATTGTCTATAGGCCACAGGCCCGTAGCCAAAATATATACAAACTTTACATACATTTACACATGTATACAATAGCAAAGGTTGAGTTTAAAACACATAGTTATAATGATACAGTACATGGAGAAATCGTACAAAAATATATATCTGAGTGAATTTGCAAGTATGTTGTTTCTCTTGGTTCATATGCATGGTATGAATATGTACATAATTTTCTTAGAAGTGTTTCGTTATAAGTAGTTAATAGGGATTTCAACTTATGATAATTACGTTTTTGACAGTATACAGACGGTAAATATTTTGATCTAAGAGCATTATAGACATTACAAACAAATAAAAAGTTGTACTTATCTTCTACTCCTAAATTGCACAATCGACAGTTGCGTTCCGTTACATAAATATTTTGCCATATACCTTCATTATACTTCAATCTTAGGAATCCACATCAAAATTTAATTTTCTATCGAGAATACATGATAAATATATTTCGGGGACTGAAAGACTTTTAAATTCTCTATACAAACAACATAGTGAGCTATTATTTATTTTACACGTCCATGACTGGAAAAACATATTAATTGCAACTGATTTGAATTCATTTATAAATGAAGCTTTATCACCGACCGTCTGAGAAATGCAGACATAACCAAAACCCTGTGAAAACAGAACATTTATTACATATACTGAACACTATTAGAAACGCACCATTCATATAATACGAAATATCCCCGTCAGACTGAGATGTTCCTATGGTATCTGTTCATCGTCAATGCATTTAGTGTGGTGCGTTTCTAATGTTGTTCAGTATATATGAAGCATCTGTATTATATCCCCAATTATCATAGTACATTTGCATTTTATAAAATTTTAAAGGAATTCTGTCTTCATTCATACGAGTGATTTTGTAACCAATATTTCAGGGTTTACACAATGCATTTATATAAAGAGGGTACCTTCCACACTCACCGTAGACAATAGCGATAGGAGTTTGTGGAGCGACATTTTTTTTTTTTTACAGGCTATCAAATGGAACTGTTCTATTTGATCAAACTTATGCATTCTCCATATTTCAGCCCCATAAAGTAATATTGGATGTATCTGCGTATGGAATATTTTAAAGAACACACTCGGATCTATAATTCCAATTTTACTGAGTTTAGTAATTACTTCCATTAAAGCCCTTTCACCACTTAGTGCAGATCATTAACACAATTTCTCATTTTAAAAGTAGAGAAATTATACAAAATATTAAGTTGATTCTGTAACCCAGGAATTGTATCAGACACAAGAACGACGTCGTCTGCAAACACAAGTAATAACATTTCTAACAAGTCAGGAAATAACTGTATACCATATTTACCATATATTGATAATTCATCTGATAATTCATTAATGAATAGAGAAAACAAGAGGTTGACAGATGATATATATATGTAGAAAAATAAAACATAAACACAGCTGAATTTGTATCATTTTCTAGGTGAGGCCGACTACCTTTTGATCGACACTCGTACTGCCGTTTAAACAGTTGTAATTATATACACTGATCAACAGGCAGATATCAGTGGCTGGCATTTATGTTACAACACACCCTTTGCTAGTCTTGGTTAAAATCACCTTGGGCGGTGCGACAGTTGCCTGTTGGAGACCATCACGAGACCAGCAACCTGCATCAATTTCATTGACAACCTTAGTTACACAGTGTTGCCACATGTCAACAGTGATTTTACCCAGCGAGGCGGTCACCAAGGCATTTGATCTTGCAACGTCACTTTTTAGAATACCCAATATCATCTCGATTGGATTCGTGTTTTAAATTCAGGTGAACAGTTGACATAATCAGAAAATGAATAAAATAATTGTAAACAGTCAAAAACGTAAGACATTCCCAATTACATTAGGCTGTTTGGAATGTAATCTGTAGAAGTATAGGTAGTATTTAGAAGTCATACTGATTACACAGAATAGGGCCTGTAAGTCACGCGGGGCGCTACTTTCGGTACTAATATAAGCTGGTCCCCGGCTGGTTCCGCGCCAACTTGCGATATGCCAGACGGGACCCAGCTTACTTCTGGTACCAGATTTCCGGTGATAAGCGTTTATATAAGAACCAGTTCTGGACCCAAACTTCGCGAACGCCAGGTAAAACTTAACTAGACCGGAGGAGGAGTACACCCATACTTGGCTGTCACACCTGTTGACAGTCGTAATTGTTGGCTAATTAGGGTATGGTCAGATCGGAAATGTGTTATTCCTTACTGTCAAATGACAACCATTCGAAAAGGTACGTTTGTCACCGGAAGTACTAAGGTCTCTCAAATTGCCGTGACCTACTTTCGGGACCCATACACACAACACATTACACTGACCCGTGCAGCGGAGCCCGGGTTGACTCCATCTGAAGTTTTCACGGCATCTGGCTTTGTTGGTCCCCTTTGGATAAGACGTGTCCATGAAGCCTTTGCGACAAGTGTACTTCCTAACACTCCCAACAACGTTTCCTCTGCCACTGACATGAGCATTCTCAATATGTGGAGGTGTACTGGGACAACTTTGAGCTGAAATAGTAAATTTAGTCATTAGGAAACCAGGAAACCTGATTTCTTATAGGCTGTGCTTTTTTAAATAATGCCGTGTAAAATCGAATAAATATCAATTATTCGTGAATTTAGAAACAGAATATGATAAAAATTATCATCGGTGGTGGATCTTGAGGGGGGACTCAGGTCTATCACATCCACCGCCTATGAAATCAACGACCAGTAAAAATAATGATCGTAACTCCACAAAGCACTGGAAACTGTTAGTGGTGAGTGGCTGACGTCAGTATTGTGGGTTGATCACAATTCCAAAGAGGTAGCCACCTGTTTCACGTTTGAAGTTTCATGTTTAAAATCAGGTGAACAGTTCACATGATCAGAAAATAAAGAAGAATAATATACTGTCCCAAAAAAGAAACGTATTGGCGTTTTGTACATATATAAATATATAAATTATCAAACAATCCTCAAAATATGTAACGAAAGTGTTGATAACATGATTTCACACAATTGCACAAGTAAAAAATCGACTTTACCTGAAAATCTTGATTTGGATGAGATTTCTGACACAGATTAAAAAGGAATCACCACAATGCAATAGAAATCACCTTCCGGTTGAAATTGTGCAGCAAAGAGCATGCACTGTCTGGTTATAAAAATCCAGATTACTTTCGGAAATCGTCATTCGTTTTGAAGGAGTTTCAAGGTCAAATCACAACGCCACGTCTTAATGCTGCGAGAAAGAACATCACCATTGCAAGAATGCACGCTGGAGATTATCAATCTTCTATTGCCAGGCGTCTGAATGTTAGTTTGAGCACGATTATACTTTTAGGCTTGCAGCTCGTAACAACCAAACAGGTATAACAAATGACCTTCTCGTACAGGTACACCTCGAGTCATCACTGCAGCCCAAGATCGGTACATCCGGGTTCTACATTTGCGTGATCGTACTGCCACGGGTGAGAGCACAGCAGCCAGGGTGCCTGTACTTCGGAGGATATCTGGTCAAACTGGACAGAACAGGTTGAGAAAGATTGGACTGAGAGCTAGGATACTCGACGTTGGGACTGTGCTACGTCGTCACCATTGCACTCAACGTCTCCGTTATCTAAAGTTATCCACTAGGTTGTATAGACATTTCCTTCTTCTAAACAGATGTACAAATCCATGAACTAAATTCTGTCTGTGGACGAGTTATACATGTTTGAAAATACAACATTTTCGCAACAGATTTCTGGATTATGCGTTTCTTTTTGAATAGTATACATATTATTTATATAGTATATACCCCCAAAAGTAAGGGGGGTGATTCTATTAAAAAAAACTATGACTTCCCCAGTTAAATCGGGCTGCTTAAAATGTAATCTTTTGAAGATGTGTAGTCATAAAGATTACCAGAAAAACCTGATTTCTAATAAGCTGTGTTCCCAAAGAACGTTGTTAATGTATGAATTGAATATGTCGTAAATCCATGTGTGTGGAAAGGTACTACAATAATTGATATGAACAGATGTGGTTTGCCGCTTTTGAAAAACTGGTCACATTTTGAAACTGATAGACATTGGATATTACTTGACACAAATGATATACAAGTATTAATATTAAAGGTCAATAATTGATCCTAAAAGTTTAAGACATCCTTAAAGTATCATAAGTTGAATGAACACATGGAAATTTACAAAGAAATTATTAAGATCCGCTTGACTATCTTTGAAATAACTTCAACTTCTTTCTCATGATACCCGTGAAGGTCCGGGTTAGAATATTGATCTTCACTAACCCATGCTTGTTGTAAGAGGCGACTAACAGGATCGGGAGGTCAGGCTTGCTGACTTGGTTGGCACATGTCATCGGATCCCAATTGCCCAGATCGATGCTCATGCTGTTGATCACTCGATTATTTACAGACCGCCATCATAGAGCTGGAATATTGCTGAGTGCGGCGTAAAACTAAACTCACTAACTCACTCTTTCTCATGATGGACACGACGTTTCGAAGTAGATTATTACTCCTTCATCAGATGGAATGAAACAGTTAGGTAACATACAGCTATATATGTACATGTGAAAGCAACAACACTTATGAAATAACAAGGGAAACCAGTAGTTAATTGGCACTGAATGGTAGATGGACAAGTGGATGTCAGGGATTGTTAATCCAGGCATGATTGATGAGGTAACAATGGTGGCAATTTAACAAGGGATAAGAAAAACAAATCTAGACTTGCTTCATTTAGGGCTTTAGCATTGCAGAGAGGGCTTTTTATGAGAGAGCCAAAACCCACACTCAAAACTATAGACATTGTGATCCGTAATAACTATTACTTAATCAATGTGATATTACAATTACAAATTACAAAAACACACTCTCATAACACTACATTGATGAGGGAGTTTTTGGACATGACGTTTTGGAAATGGTTGAAGAGGAATGTTCTGGCCAAATGGAAACTAAAAAACTTGAAATTCAGTTACAAATTCAAAAAGAAGAAAAGAGAAAAGAAAAAGAATTAAAAAGGCAAGAAATAAAATTGAGAAAATTGTTAAAAAGTTGCTCAAAACCTCAAGTGGCCTAGGGAGTCATGGACTATGCTACTGCAAACTGTTTTGAAGGGTAATGTTCAGGATGCTTATTCAGCCTTGTCGATACAGCAAAGCTCAGACTATGAGCTTGTCAAAAGGACACTTTTAAAAGCTTATGAGTTAGTGCCTGAATCAGAATTCAGAAATGCTCGTAAAAGGGAAAATGAGAATTTTGTAGAATTTGCTAGAGAAATGAAACTGTTTGACAGGTGGTGTGGGTTTGAGGAAGTCACAGATTTTGATGGTTTGAGACAGTTAGTTTTAATGGAGGATTTCAAGCAGAGTGTTCATTCTGATCTCAAGGCTTATTTAGATGAACATAAGGTTGATGACTTACACGAAGCAGCGATGTTGGCAGATGATTATGGTTTGCCTCACAAGAGTTGTTTTATGTCTCCGGGTAGTATCAAGTTTTCTGGCCAAAAGGGCTTTTCCCCGGGTAAGACTTCAGGACATGCAGGTTTCAGGTGTGTGAGAACAGGTTCAAATTCTTGTGACAAGCAGTCATATTTTTTTCAGTCTAAGCCTAAGACTTCCAGTGGTTCTGATCCTGTTTGTTCATATTGTAAGAAGCCAGGTCATTTGATTTCTGCATGCTACAAACTCCAGTTGAAAGATCAGGCTGCAGGTTCCCCAAATGCTCTTGTGTTTATTGCACCTAAGCCTTTCTTTCCATGTGGTTCTGAGGAGCGTTTTATTTGTGAGAGTATGTCCCCAGATTCTGTAGTTCGGAGGAGTATTCGCCCTTTGTTATCTTGAGGGATACTGGAGCTCTTCAATCTCTGATTTTGAAGGATAATTTGCCTTTTTCTGATGAATCTTTCGCGAACTCGGAAGTTTTGCTTCAGGGTATAGGTGGCAATTCTTCTGCCCCTCTCCATTTTGTGAATTTGCCTTCAGATCTGATTTCTGGTAGGGTGAAAGTTGGTGTTCTTGACTCTCTCCCAGTTCCAGGTGTCGATTTGTTGATCGGTAATTATCGGCCAAAGTTGGTGCTGATCCAATTGTCACTGTTTCTCCAGAGAGTTCAGTTAGTAGAGAAAGGTTGGAGGATGACTTTCCGGGTATTTTTTCTTCTTGGGCAGTGACTCGTTCAATGTCGCAAGGCATTTCTTCCAAGACTTCTTTGCCGAATGATACCATTTATGATTGTCAGATACTTTCATGGATCATTCCTTTCATGAGGCAGAGGCTAAGTAGTAACTCCTCAGGTCTTCTTGATAAGTCTGATAGTTGTCAGGTGGTGATCACAGAGAGCAGCTTATTAGTGCGCAGGTTGAGGATGTTGAGTTAAGTTATAACAGAAAGTCAAAAGAGAGAAATTTCATTCGTGTTGAGAAAGCGTTAGTCTTACTTCCCATTTCTGGTCAACCGCTGAGAGTTAGATATCAAGGTCCATATGTTGTTGACAGATAGGTTAGCAACACAGACTATGTTGTCCTGATGCCTGGCTGTCGTAAGCAAAAGAGGTTGTGTCATGTAAAAATGATTAAGAAATACCATGACAGGTTAGAAAGCAAACAGGTCAATAGTATTGCCACACTCTCCCCAGTTACTGATTGTACTAAAGAAAATGGTGAACATGTTTACAATATTGATGATGGTGTTAGAAATGTGAAGTTTGATGACCTTAATGATAATGCTTCACCAAAGTTAACTTCTGATGTGTTAGCTCACCTTGATGAGAAACTATCACATTTATCTGCTGAGCAGAAAGTTCAAATGTCAGATTTGATTCATGAGTTCTCTCACTTATTTCCTGATGTGCCTGGCTGAACTAATGTTGTTAGCCATGATATAGATGTAGGTGATTTTGTGCCTGTAAAACAACATCCATATGATATGAATCCTGTGAAACGTGAGATTCTGCGAAAAGAAGTGAAATACATGCTGGACAATGACATTATTGAACCCAGTGACAGTCTGTGGAATTCACCATGTGTTCTTGTGCCAAAGAGTGGTGGAGGTGGTTGGCGCTGCTGTGCTGACATGAAAGCTGTCAATGCACTCTCACGAACTGATTCATATCCAATTCCTAGGGTGGACGATGGCATTGATCGCATTGGTCAAGCTAGATATATATGTAAGTTTGACTTATTGAAGGGCTTCTGGCAGATTCCACTCATAGACCATGCAAAGAAAATATCGGCTTTCGCTAAACCAGATGGAATGTTTCAATACAAAGTGATGCCGTTTGGTCTGAATAACACACCAGCGACGTTCCAGAGACTCGTCAGCAATGTCACATCTGGTCTTGATAGTGTCGAAACTTACATGGATGATGTCATCAATTACAATATGGAGTGGGAAGAACATCTGAAGAGAACTTGTGCTTTCCTTGATAGACTGTCTTAAGCAAAGTTGACTGTGAAGCTTGCAAAGTGTGAATTTGGAAAGGCCGAGGTTGAATTTTTTGGGCATGTTGGTAGGGCACGGCCAGGTACATCCAGTTCATGCTAAGGTTGAAGCGATTGTACATTTTCCAGTACCT